ACTGTCATGTCGTCCTACGGGAGTATTACAAGCTGGAGTCATCGGAAGCTGACTCATCACATAATACGAAGTGTTCGTATACAGTGTGCATCTGTTGCATCCTTCTTAGGACCCATCAACAAATCGTATTCTGGGATGGTTCGATCCGAGATGTGTGTGTTTGTTACCAGTGTTTAGTCACCATCCATTGCTTTTGGGACAGTTGTTCAAAATTAAGATTTGAACTGAATTCACGAATTGCACAACTGTGTTGTTTGAATGCATGTATCCACGTCAATGTATTCTTGTTGGGAATCTTTTCAAGAACGGTGTACTGTGCTATGCTGTACTGAGTACTCGTTCATGATTTAATCCAAGGCCATGTGCACATGCACAGTCCGTCTTCATTTGGATCAAGAGTTACAAATTAAGTCACCACTGTTATGCCTTTTTGATGTCATGTTTGGAAAACGATATGAATTCATAATAATTCGTACCATTACCTTTGGTCACAATATCTCTTTCTGTAATGGACAACTGAAACACTGTTACTGTTCCGTGTTTTCTTTTTACCATGGATTTAACTTCATCCAAATAATCACTCATTATTGTTGTAACCTACTGCTAACCACATTTATTTCTTAAAATGGGATACAAACCTTTAAAGTGCATTCCATCTATAATTTCATCGTACATTTATTCTTCTCTTCAGTGCATTTTTGTATTTCGGGCAATATCCTTCTGAATGAGGTAGTGATTCAGCGCTGTGCTCACTGCACCACTTCCATTTGACACTAATTAGCCTTGCAGTTCACATTTATCATCCGAATTTCAGAAGGCATTCCGATATGATCATTAGTTCTATGTATTAGGTGAATTTTAGTGTTTCCCGACTCACATTTGACCCTGTACATAAATTCATGTGTACGCACCAGCTTGCACCCGGTTGTGTGGGTATGCATACTTAGCCTGGGGTGCATCCATGTGTACGTACGCCTTTGTGTCGTAGCTTCCTTTTTCACAGCTCGTCGCCATCATTAACAAACTCCAGTTTGACCATTGTCGGTTTTCGCGGTACGTAAGCACAACTGCCGGTATTGTGTCCTGACCTAAAAGTGGATGAATTATAACAGATTGTCGTGACAATGAACACTTTTCTCCATTTACCGCTTATTCTCCCTCATGTGACTGTGCCGTCCTTCGTAGGTTACCCATTCGTGCTCACGTTTTTGTCTTCATTTCCAGTCGATGATAACCACTGCATTTGATTTACTTGTGTGAAACCCCTGCGCCACCATTCGCCAAATTATTCCCTTCTAATGTAACTCACCCAACCACGTTAGCCTAGCCCATTAGTATTCTGTTTTGATTACGGTTTCTGGAAAACCTGATAGAAGTGGGAATTTCCGAAGAACTGACAAAGAAAACAAAAAGTTTTCTGTGAGTGTCAAAGGTGTGCAAATACACATTCGTAGTACCCGATCAACCATATATTGAATGAGTCTATTAGAGTCTACCTGAAAAGCTTAATCCAACTTGTATGGCCAAGCCATTGATTGTTTTTTTATTCGCCTTAGTCAGATTATGGGTTGCCACTAACCTGCTGCTAGTGTCAGCTTCTGTGAAAACCGTTACCTGAAACTCCATCACCTTAGGCTATCTATGTTCATGCGAAAGTAATGATTTTCATACCGGCGCATTCAGTGCATCCTTTTGGTTTTTCATGGCTGAAGTCTTATTACAAACATCCAAGGGCTCAAGCGCACCATTTTAACAGCAAACTATTATGTTATACAATTTCAGCCACCAACTAAATGTTTCTTTTAGCGGAAGGAATGTAACTTAAATGTCTTCAGTCGGTGGTCGTAGCGGGATGGCCCGGGAGACCTTCTCTGCTTGCATGTCTCCGAGCCGAGTACGTCGTATACTGAGCATAGTGATCGTCGTTCGGTATGATGATCCTAGTTCCTTGCACTCCATGCATTATTCCATTTGAAGCTGTCCCCAATATTTCGAATTCTAAATAGTTTATAAAAGTGTGATGTCATTAGTTCGTTGCTTACCACCTTCAGTTCTCGTGTGCTATGCAAACATCCTCTCGGTGGGCGAGGTTATTTTGCTTAGGAAAAACGATAGATCTGTCATCTGCATTTGTTAGACTGATCCAAATCGGAGCATACTGCAGCTAGTGGTTTCTATACTACTGTCTGATAACACGTTGTCTACCGTTTTGCTCTGTGCATTTCAACTAACGGAACATTTCTTTACGGGTCACCAATTTTCTGTCCAGACAAACTGTCTGTTACCGAAGTTTAATCAGGCTTCACAATAACGCACTGTTGTTTTGTTTCCTAAGTATTTTCCAATGCATCGATGTCGTGTAATGACGGTTGGATTAGACTTGGGGTTTTCCGCGCCTTTTAACATTCACATTGTCTGTTCTTCAATTGTGGTCATCACTAAAATCAAATCAATATGCACTTCATCATGACTCGGTCTGATGCAGTAATTGCTCTTCAGTAAATGCACAACCATCAGTGGCAAATGCAATTATTGTGTACGCAATAGCCGTAATAATAATAATAATAATAATAATAATAATAATAATACTGTGTAGTAATATTCAATCAATTTGATTTCGGATAGTCCACTNGTCCACCCATTCGTAGTCCACTATTATCGTCGACAGACCTCATCTGCATAAAACGTTTTTTGACCACTTCCCATGTGTGCAGACAAATTATTTTAATCATCGCTTTGCACGAGAGTTATGGCGGGTTTGATTCACGCTTCATTTGCTCCACTCCCATGAAGTCATCACTTTGTTATGTCCTGTGTGTATGTGCCTGTTTTGATTGTATCTTGTGATTCGGTGAGTCCATATTTGGAGCTTATCTAATAGTTTTTTTCGGGGGCTTGAAACTCCTACTTCCCGAGGTAACCTTGATGAGAGATGACAACAGATTTCGGTTACCCAAATTGTGTCAAGGCAGATTTCGCTGCAACTATGCTGATCTAATGCAGCAGAAAACAACAATCGATGGACAGCGTTTCGGATTGTCTACTAGTTACTAGTTGCAAAATTGCTAAAGTTTGCTGAAGCAATGGCTATTAATCCATGAAGTCCCTCTCCCTTCTGTCAAGAAAAGAACTTTATGTTAGTCTGTCGTTACTCTGGTGACATGGTCCTTCACCCCTCCCCCTTTTTATATTCTGTCTGTTTTAATATCTTTTGCTTTACTTTGTTGCCATGCTAAAGCCCTATATAAACACTGCATTTTCTGCAGTATGCACTATGTTGAAATGCAGCGAAATCGTGCAGTATTGCAATGTGGTCTTTTCTTTTGAAAACAATCGATGCCATTTGACAGTATACCAGTTACATTCGAATACGACAGGATCGAAAACTTTTAACACTTCCAGGGCACCGATTGTTTGACTAACAGTTTTTTCCACATATGAGTCAGGTTTCCGCCCGCTAACTGCAAGAGATTCCCTCAACCTAAGAAGCTCGGGGTCCGTATTATGATCGGTTTGCCAGGTCCGGACCGTAATTTGTCATCCATACGATAGATGACGCAGGCTGTTTATTTGTTCGGTGTTCTTGGGTGGGGGCGGTGACGCTTTGTAATCGTGATGGTGTAATGTGGTGCTGTGTGTGTGTAAATAGAAGAATGACCTTTAGCCATATGATTCGGTTAACCGGTGTGTTGAACTTGCAATTTGTGATTTAGCCACCAGTGGCACGGAGTGCGATAGAGGTTCGTGTTGTGTTCAGGACGGTTGGGTTGGCAACGGTACGAGAGTGTTTCCCCAGCGTTTTCAATTTGTTTTGGTAGACCAGGATAATGTCACCGGCTTTGAACGGGAAGCAGGCGTAAACCTTTTTTTTTTTTTCCTTTTGTTAAATACATAGTGATACAATTTGCAGGAAGGGGGAAGCAGTCAATCAAAGGGCTGCCATTCACCGCAGTGGGAAAAGTCAAGCGGTGGTGGTGGGATTGGAACATCCTCGGGGTGATAATTTGGTGAGGTTACCCCCGGGCCACCACCGCCCGTCATATATAGTGCGATTGCTCTATCGTTCCCTTCCGTCTTGTCTCACCCGCAACTTAAAACTATTAAGTTCCCTTCTACCCTCTCTGCTAATTGGTTGGATCATTTCCCGCGATTTGGGCAACTTGTAGTACCTCAACATAAAACCAGATTCTCTGATCACCGGTTTGTCATGTTTGCAATGTTCTTGTTGTCCAGTCATGCGATGATGACTCCTGTGTGGGCGCAGTCAAAGTTCATTGGATGTGAGTTCTCGCTCGAGTTAGCTGGGCAAGCATCACGCCCCTCGATGCAGCTGAGCCATTTGACCGACCAATGAATGAACTCGGCTGATCATGTGCTCCGTTTTCCGGCTGATGTTCATGATAAAACTGCGCGGCTGACCATTTTCAGTAAGTTTTGTTTGTAACCTATCCTTAGTGCAGATGCGTAGTGCTCGATGGAATCGCGCTATCAATGCATCACGCTTGCAGTTATTGGGCTCCAAACTATGGAAGTGTGGTGCTGTTGAGGTCGCAATATTTCTTAGGATCCCAGTAATGCTGTCGACGGCAGCGGCTTTTTCTTCTTTACGATGCAAATGATTGGGGGTGTCGAATACAACCCACTTTTTCTCTTGATAAATCAATCTTCTCACGGTCTCTGTGATAGATGATCAGTAAGAATCACTGCATTGAAACCTCAGTTCTCATCCCGTTACAGCTCACGGCAGTCACCTGTAGGTCAATGTCTTACGCAGGCACGCCGCTTTGTCATCCGTGTGATCTCTACCGCACTTTTCCTATTGCGGTCTAAATCCCATAACCCAGCCGGTTGACAGAACTTACTCTACCATTGAGCCGCACGAACAAACACTCAATTCTGTTTACTACTCTCCCCATCAGTGTTCTCCTCTCTGTTCGACTGAACATGTTTCTTGTCAGTGCTAATGCAAATTGTTTTTTTTCCTGTTTTTCTGGTAACAGGCTCGTCCGGTGGACATCCTAGTGATTCTTATGGGGCAGCTCGAACTGTTAGAATTGCGGTTGTGGCGTCGCCAGATGGAATCAATGGCCGAAAAGCCCCTAGATGCATACAAGTGAGTTTGTCCTGCTACATTTTGTCTTCCTTTATTGCTACTCTGACAGTTGCGGCAAGGAAGACGAAATTGGATTATTGTGTTCACATTACTGTGGAGATACTTATATACAGGTATACACACGTATTTTCCCCTATGTTTTGTGTGTATCGCATACTGACGTCGCGATCTACATTCATCAATTTGACCGCCATGTCTGGAGTGTTGTCTGTACAGGTTATTTGCTTTTACCACCATACGCATGCGTATCCTATGTAACGGGCCCGTCTATTGCATGCATCATATGGCTAAATCTTGTCCGTTTGCCACCGCAGCAATCAGACTTCGGAATTAAATTCGCCAATCTTTGACCCGCTCCCGATGAGCATCAGCGCCCTTCACCGTGATTGACTGATTCATTTTCGAAATTAATGAAACCTGCGTTGCGTTGCAACTTCATCTTGAATTGTTTCATTTTGTTGTTCCTTATCATCTTTTGGTTCCGTCGCTGTAATTGGTTGAACTGGTGAAGAGATCAGGAACAAAGTAGAATGATGATGGATTGCGGACTACGGATTCGGATCCTATTACAACCGCTTAGTTGAACGTAATACATGTATTCACAGACCATCAATAAATCAGTTTAATTTGAGAGTATCTCGACAAGGTGAGTAGGCGACTGAGTTTGGCGTTATTTCTCTTTTTTAAGGGTGTTGGGGCGAGGGGCTAAGGCTAATCCAAGGACTGCGGTGAGTACTTATAAATGTTGGAGTTAGATGATGCTTTTGGAGTTCGAATACAACGTCCGAGCGATAAGTTAGTGATTCTTACCGTTAGAACACATTCGTGTTCAAAACTCGTGGATTTTCACATTGAGCTTTGCGTTATCAAAATGGTTGGGGGTCATAGAAGGATGGCTTCATCATACATGCGTTGTTATCAGGTTTTTGCCATATTTTCTGTTATTTTCTATAGTGAACACAAAATAGGATAAATCAGCATATCTACTAGAGAAATTTAATCGATCCTTATTTCAATTATCGAATTACTCTGGGCCAAAATAACCTGGGAGGGTTTCGTTATTGTGTTACCCGAACAAACGATCGTGCTGAAACACCACTATCTGCCTGTCGTGTTGATTGGCCGTGCCCATTAAAAAGCTTTCCTTTCATGTCCGGTAAGTTTAGTGCAGTTTAATATTTTCACCTTTGCTCGGTCTGTATGCGACATCTGTTTCTCTGTTGATCTCAGTAGCCATCCGGATAGTAGGGTTTTAGTCGGACCAGAAGTGCGCACATTACAATCAAATGGAGTTGGGAATAGCTGTTTCCAGGTTACACTACCATCGCGGCGAAACAGCCTTTCTCTTCCACATACCATTTGCCTAATATAATTACCATACGGATCAATGGTGGCAGGCCCCATTATAAAATTGATTCCGCTCTGTCCCGATGCAGTACTTTTTGGTTGATCACTTCATTTGATCCGTGTGATCCACAGTGTTTCCAATTGATCGTTGCATTTCGCTTCAGCATTTACTTTTCATGCATTTAGCATTGCAAGTCTTACGCACTCACTCACTTCTCTAACCTGATTTGCTCGTTTGGCCAAAGAATGATTTATCGAACGATGTTTCGACATGCTCACATGTCGTTCTTTTGGTCTTTCACTCTATCTCGTCACCTCTATCCCTCCCTTATTTCACCTATGACTGCTGTACTGGTCCAGCTCATGTTTGGTTTTTTCATCTTCCTTTTCCTGTTCAACTATCCGCNCCCCCCCCCCCCCTCCGCGCACTCCACACACGTCATATCGGTCGCTCAAATCCTCCTCTTGCTGAAAACAACGCAGAAAATTGGCTCACAGTCTAGCCTGGTTATCGCTGGCACCACAAATAGACGGTGAGGTTTACGGGAGTTTGTGTCGTCAGACCAAGGCTTGGCGGGCAGAAATTAGCGCCAAATCAGAGGAGTGAGTTATCTTGTTCACACTCGGTCGGATTTTCTCACCTGTCTCGTTTCGGGGCGTTTGTATATGTATGCGTGTGTGTGTTTGCTTTTGCATGTATACAAAGCGAAACCCACGTTGACACCAAATTAAATCTTCCGGTGATAATCGATTACGGGAATCAAATTTCGTTCACAATCAANTTCGGCACTGCGTAAGGTGCCTCCTAGCTATCAGTTTAGGCTCTTAAATACTGTAGTCAAGTCTGTGGTATTGCTTTATGCATTTGATTACTTTTCTGACAAGTTAATCGCTGTGGATAGTTTTATTCCCTAAACTATCCTCTAAAACTCGACTAAATAGAGGGGAAAATAATCAGAAGCACCAACCTACTGCGAATGTGTAGGAATCGCATTTGTGGACTTCAGAGCGAGCTACTTGAAAATACAAAATCGCCTGCTTGTCATAGCGAAACAAATGATGGTTACGCATTGTATGCTTGAATTATTTTCGTACACTCGTTCGCATTTAATAACGACTGAGGCTTTGATGGTGAAATTTCAGTGCAGAAGCAGACCCACCTCAGTGTGTTGTCACAATCGGCAGTAGCGGAACTGAAAAAAATAACGGTTGTCTTGATTTGATTGGCGCCGGTATTTGCCGTTGGCGCTGCTATCGACTGACATGCAACACTGTGAAAGATCGACAGGACACTTGTGGTTGAGTTGCGCCTACATATGGGATATAATGCTCTCTCTGTTCGAGCTAACCGTGGTCACCAAAAGGGTCATCAAGCTTTTATTTTTCCTGCTTGTTCAGTCGACTTTCTAGTTGAAGCGTGCATGGAAGCCTCTAACTTTGTTATTTGCTTGGGGGCATCAGGTCAACGTGGATAAATTATAGAAACAGTTCGACATTTACTTCAAGAGTTCAGCATTCTGTCTGTTCACAACGAATTAAAATCTACGTCTTCATGTATGACTTTTGAGCCGGTCAAGCCTTACACCAGGTCGCTTATTACCAACCGGTATTCTAGTCTCTCCACGAACGCCTAGCTCTGACACAGTATATTTCCTACACCAAAAAATTGAAACGAGTAAACGCTGAGTAGCCTGGTCAGCCAGATAGACATGACCCGTATTGATAAGGTCTGATGAACGTTGTGAAGTGATTGTATTCGGAAACTAGTTTCACCAGTTACAGTCACATGCTTATTGAGATTGGGTGTAAGTGGTTTTAAATGTAACCAGTGGAAAACGTCTGTGTTTACATTTACTTTCTGTAATTGCCCAATTAGTCGTTGTATTTCATACTGTTCAATTTACCTATCTGATTTTTCTAACCACATAGATAAATGGCAACCTTTTGTTCACTAATGAGTCCGGTGAAGCTCGGATTAGTTCGACTTTTTGCTATTCATATATCAAACATCTTGGTATTTGATTAAGGCCAATGTGCATAACTCGAGGAGATAGACGGAGACTTGAGAACCTCATGGTTTTGGTAAAAATTGAGTGACTTTCCTCTCAGCTAGCACCCGTTGTAGCGGAAGATTTTAATTTGCGCTTCTCAACTCGTCATGTCCAAAGATCTGTGTTCGTAGTAGTAGTAGTTCATAGTAGTTGTATATATTTGCTGC